AGAACAAGGGGGAGTAACCATATGCTACTATGCTCACATGTACATATATACACATGGATGTAGGTGAATGCATTGTCACACAAGACTGAAGAGATTATAAAAGCTATATTTGGATTAAATCTCACTTGCTAGTTGGAGAGATTCTAAGATCTGTAATCAAAAACATAATACTTCTAAATCCTGCAAGACTGTATATGCGCATATAGCAACAAAACAATTTTTCTGTCTCTTCTACACAGGTGTAGTACACTCCACATTGCAGAGACAAATGTCTGAGCTGACATACCCCCTTGAATCATTCATCATTTTGGTGTAATTCAAATATAACTGGTGTCAGGTCCCTTTGATCCTGATCTTCAGCCCTGACTCTGGGAAAATGCCTGGCACACAACAAGGTACTGGGAAAGTGCTTTGTCTTCATTATGGGGATAGAAGGTAGGAATGTTGGCAGGAGACTTTCTTGGCTCAAGAGGCAACAGCAACCATGAAGCAGTAATACGGTTGTTATCTTATGGAACCACCTTCCCTATGCTGCATAGCTGCAGGCACTGTTGGCGGATTTAGCTATGGCACAGTGATTTAATGTGGCTTGCAAAGAAACAACTGCATCTTTGTTCTACCTTGCCAGGAGAGAAAAAGTAATGGGGAACACAATCAAGGGCAAAGGATGAATAGAGAAATTCAAGGAGGTGCCTTCTAAACATTTCCCTTCCCAAATTATGGAATTCCTGCAGAGTCACCTGTATGACTGCATGTACAGAGAAATCAACAGCTGTTATCAGTATTATTATCGTGCTGATTTTTCAATATGTACTAGAGATCAGGTTGAAAGAGAGAGAATGAGAAAACAATAAACTTATTTGGGGTAATGAGGGAATGATGTGCAAATTAATTGAACAATGTTTCAGGGGTTTATTTGGATGGGAAGTGGGATTTCCTTCTGTGAAATTTGAATTTTAATAATTTTAAATTATATAATAATTTAACCTACTAGAATGACTGCATATTTTTATGAGAATAAAAGCCATTTGACCTTCATAATAATCTCCTCATCATCCTCCTGAGTTCTAAATATCTTGAACTGGACTTTCTTATTTAGAGTTTTGGAAGAGATAAGCTTTGGTGATAATTTCATTTAATGGGTCAGACTGATTTATAGCTTACAGAAAACACAAATAATGGTTAATGGAAACTTAACAAAACCCTATGAGATTTGAAAAGGAATAAATTAAGGATGCCCAATGTCTCCACTTTTGTTTATTTTGGTTCTTGAGGTTTCATCTAGAAACCTAAGGCAAGAAGAAAGAATTTGTAGTATAAAGATTTAAAAAGAAATGTATAATTTAAGGACATTTGCTGATGACTTAGGGCCTAAACTAGGGGTCGGCAACCTCTCCCCTTTAAGGGCTGAGGGACTTCAGCTCCCAGAATCCCAGGAGCTATTGGCCAACATGGGATTACTGACCAACATGGCTGAGGTTTCTGGGAGCTGAAGTCCCTCAGCCCTTAAAGGGGAAAGGTTGCCTACCCCTGGCCTAAACAAACTGCTAGAAATAATCCAGCTTCAGGCCACTTTAACTGTCCTGACTCAATGTTAGGGAATCATGGGAATTTAAATGGATAAAAGAAGTTATAGTTTTGTATGAAACAAACCAGAGTTTGAATTGCAATTGTATACAGATGATGAACATATGACTGGTAGATGAACAAGCTTTTGTTAAAAATTTACATAGAAAAAGAACAAGTGAAAGATTGTATGATAAAATGGGTTTAGAATTTTGGATATAACACATATGGAAAAATGGGAAAGGATGTTGTCAAAAGAGTTGAAATTTACATTGTTATGATCTTAAAGGGAATTTTTACAAAGTGATGTACCATTGGTGTATGCATCAGAGAAGCAGTCTAAAATGCATAAGAGTGGTTTGAATGTATGTTGGAAATATGAATAACATGAAGGGACATTTTGCCATGAGTGGTGGACATGTGAAAGGCTAAAAGGTTCTGGGCTCAGATATATCATTTGATGCAGAGGGTTTTAAAGGCTCATCCAATTCAACCAGATTTTTTCTCTCTTGGGCTTTATGGATGAACAGCTGGAAAAGAGCCATCAAAGCTACTTCAGTATATGACCATGGCATCAAGATAGTTGTATGCACAGAGATGGAAGAATTCAATATTATCTACTAAGAAGAAATGGTTATTAAAACTGAATGAGTTAGCAAAAATACACAAATTATCTGGTTTGATTAGAGAAAAATTATTAGTGACATTTCTCTCTCGCTCTTAAATTTATTGAAATTATAATCCATTGAGAAAAAGTTAAAAATTCAAGAATACAATAAGGTATTGATTATTACCTTTAAAGCCCCTCTATGGCCTGGGTCCAAGCTATCTTTGGGACCTCCTCCTCCCATACAATCTTTCTCAGGCACTCTGGTCCTCTGGGAAGAATTTGCTCCAGCCAACGAAATCCAGGCTGTCAGCAACCTCCCAGAGAGCATTCATGGTAATCACCCCCAGATTATGGAATGACCTGCTGGGTGAGATCTGTCATATTACCTTAAGCAGCTTTTTAAAAGCTGTGAAGATGGATCTCTTCCAGCAGGCCTCTCCTGACTAGATTCCTGGCCCTAGGAGTCTGCCTGTTTTTATCATCCTAGTTTTGGCTCTCCCATTGTTTGTTGTTGG